AGCTGAAACCCGTTTTGAAAAACCGAGGTCCAAAAACGAAGTGTTCCCAAAAGTAAAAACCAAGTTTGAAAAATATTGTATATGGTATAAAATAGTGAAAACAAGACTTGTTTGGTAAAAACCAAGTCCTCAAGGTCGTAAATCACGTGCGTACGGTTTTGACCGTTTTTCACGTGTTAGACCGATTGACCAAGATACAAAAGTGGTTTTTATAAAATAATTATTCGGGAACCTTTAAAATATGCTCAGAGATAAAAGCGAGGTTTAAAACATTGAAAACCACCGAGTTGGTTCGGGCACCAAAAACCGAACGCCGAAAACCGAATGCCGAAAGCCGACTGCCGACTTAGTTGGTTTTGGTTCTGAGCAAGGACCAGGGATTTTTAACAATAAAAGAAGTCATCAAAAATGTTTGTTTTGATGCACAAAAAATGTTTTATGGTTTGTAAAAATAGTTTTGACTTTTTGAGAACCGAGACTTGAGTAAATTGTCGGTTTTGATCACAAAAGACCGACTCGACTAAGTCTTCAATTCTTGATCTTGTCCTTGAGTCTTTTAGGTCTTGTTCCAAGCCATTCTTCACGCCTTGAGTTATTCAACGAAACTCTTCATATCCACGGTGGTTTGGCAATTATCAAAACCTGTCAGAAATGAACACGACTTTAGTTTAACGTACAAAGTGTGTTCCAACATTTCCCATCTTCGAGTCTTTGGTTGCAAATGTTTTATTCATAACAACGGCAAAGACAATATAGGCAAATTTGATGCCAAGTCGGATGAAGGGATTTCTCTTGGTTACTCATTACGTAGCAAGGCCTATAGAGTCTTTAATAAACGTACCTTGACTATTGAGGAGTCCCCTCATGTTGCATTGATTTTGAAGAAGGCATTGATTTTGAAGAAACTTATGCACCCGTAGCACGTTTAGAAGCTATTCGTTTACTTCTTACTTTTGCTTTGTCTATAGATTTTAAACTTTATCAAATGGATGTCAAGAGTGCCTTCCTCAATGGTTTTATTCAATAGGAAGTGTACGTTGACCAGCCCCTGGGGTTTGAAGACTTTGAGTATCCCGACCATGTCTTCAAACTCAAGAAAGCGCTCTACGGTCTTAAACAAGCACCCCGTGCTTGGTACGAACGTTTGAGTAAATTTCTTTTGGATAGTGGTTTCCAAAGGGGAAGGGTTGACACTACACTTTTTATCAAGAGTAAAAACAATAACATCCTTTTGGTTCAAGTTTATGTAGACGATATTATATTCGGTGCTACTAATGAGTCTTTGTGCAAGGAATTCTCAACGCTAATGACAAGCGAGTTCCAAATGTCGATGACGGGCGAGCTCACATTCTTTTTGGGACTCCAAGTCAAGAAAATGAAAGATGGCACGTTCATTTTCTAAACTAAATATTGCAAGGAGCTCCTCAAACGATTCGAAATGGACAACGCCAAAGCCATGGCGACCCCGATGAGCACGTCCGACCATCTAGACAAAGACGAGAAAGGTAAGGAAGTAGAAGTCAAAAAGTATCGAGGTATGATCAGATCCCTTCTCTCTCTTACCGCTAGTAGGCCGGATATCATTTTAGCGTATGCCTTTGCGCAAGGTATCAATCATGTCCGAAGGAATCGCACTTAATGGTGGTGAAACGGATCATGAAATACCTTGTTGGCACGGTTAACGTTGGACTGTGGTATCCAAAAGGCTCTTCGTGTCATCTTGTTGGTTATTCCGACTCGGACTTTGCCGGTTGCAAATTGGACCGTAAAAGTACGAGTGGGACTTGCCACTTACTTGGTAGCTCTTTAGTTTCATGGTTTAGTAAGAAACAAGTCAGTGTTGCGTTATCCACAACCGAAGCGGAATACGTTGCCGCCGGTAGTTGTTGTGCTCAAATCCTTTGGATGAAGCAACAACTCGTGGACTATGGCCTTAGTATCAGTCGCATTCCACTTCGTTGTGATAATACTAGCGCCATAAGCTTGACGAAGAACCCCGTTCTTCACTCAAGGACGAAACACATTGACATTCATACTATTTCATTAGAGATCATGTTCTCAAAGCTGATGTCGAAATTGAGTTTGTTGAAACACACAACCAATTAGCCGACATTTTCACAAAACCTTTAGAGAAAGAGTCGTTCTTCCGCATTCGTAGTGAACTCGGAATCCTTGACTCCACGATGATCTAAGTTGTGCATTTTATCATTCCTTATCTTTGTTTGACCTGTTACTAACTTGAGCGTCGGAGGGTTTTCTAACTCTTTTTTGCAGGGACGGTTTGAAGTGAAGAATTCTGGAAGTCAGGGGGAACCAGCGATGGTTGGGTTCATACCATCGCTAGGAGGGAAGTTTCTTTTTTTTTTCAGAACCCCTCTTCCCATCGATGGGAACTTCATCCCATCGATGGGTGATTGACTCTTTTTTTTCTTAAAAACACTTAACGGATTTCCAGAAACACTTTACCCATCGATGGGTACTTTATCCCATCGCTGGGTGAATGACTTGTGGTTTTAAAAATTTTTCCAGAACCAGTCTACCCATCAATGGGAACTTTCTCCCATCGCTGGGTGTTTGACACTATTTTTTTTAAATTTTTAAGGGATTTCCAAAACCACCAACCCAGCGATGGGATGGTATTAACATCGCTGGGAAGGCAAACGTCTTTACTTTGCCACTTTCTAGTAACCCCCTTCCCATCGATGGGAGAATCCAAACATCGCTGGGAAGGCAGCCTCAATTTTTTCCTTGCTTTCCAGTGGTGACCTTCCCATCGATGGGAAGTACTACCCATCGCTGGTAAGGCTGGTGAATTTCAAATTTTCAGATCCGTTGGGCACCTAATTAAATGCCCAACAGCCATATTTTTCAAATTCAAACGGAAATTTCATCTCTCCCTATATATATATTCAGTATTCTTAGTCATTCCTAATCACAATTAACATCCAAATTTCAAACTCCTCAGCCTATTCATCCAAATTCATCCTCTTTTTTTTAAAAAAAGCTTCAACCGATGGCCGGAGGAAAGTCAAAGAGCAAAGCGTCCAAGAAGAAAGGTCTGGCCGAGGCCACGAGCTCTGCGCCTCAACCCTTTCCGTACCTTGACGTGCTACCGGAGCTGTTTCCCCAAAACAAAGGGTACCACGACCTCGACAAATCAACTCAAAGAGTTGGGTTTGTGGCCCTTCGTCTCCAAGAGCCGCACCTCCTACAATCCCGCCTTTGTCCGGGCCTTCTACTCCACCTCCGCCGTGACGGAGACACCATCCGCAGCAGGGCTGCCCATCCGCGGTGACGACATTGCGACGTACGGTGGCGACAGTTGGATCTTAAACAACGAGGCGGTGGTCATCCGAGAGCTTGGGATCACCAACCTCATCCACCACAGCGGCGTGCCGACGATTCACTCGGCCCCACTGGACAAGCGCCTCCTCCTCTACATCATCACCCGGATTCTTCGCCCCCGGGACAGCAGCCATACCTCGCTCTTCAACGAGGATTTGAAGGCGATTCATGCAATCATCCACGACGCCTCCATCAATTGGGCAAAATTTGTCATGATACACATGCCGGATTGCGCCTCACTCGCCACCGAGCGGAGCTTGCCGTACGCCTTCCTCGTCATGGACATCATCGTCTCCGCCGATATCCACATCGCCGGGACAGACACGAAAATGACGAAGCTTTGGATGATCGCCGACGGCACCTTCCGGAAGAAGTCCGGAAACAGAGACGGCGCAGGCCCGAGTCGTGCACCAGCCCCCGCTCCTGCCAAGGCCTCTTTGCAATCTATAGCCGATACCCTGAATCGGCTAACCCTCATGGTGGACGGCATGGGGCAGTCAATTGAGCGGATGGACTGGACGTTGCAGCGCCAACACCACGACATGACTGCATACTTCCGTGGACTCAACTACGCTCCTCCACCTTTCGACAGCACCATTCTCGACCAAAACTTGGAAGGCGATGATGAGGACGACGACTCCTACGCTGCGTCCTCCTCTCCCGACGAGGCCGACTTTGAAGATGCGGTCGACGGCGATCCCATGGACGTCGAGGACGACGAGGATGATGACGAGGACGCCGACGCCGACTCCTAGACTCTTCCTTCTTTTTCTTTTATTATGATGGTATTTTTAATTATTTCCGTTCCGTTGTATTTTTCATTTCCCTTTTAATGAGTAAAAATTCACTTTTAAATCTTTTTGTTAATGTCAAAAGGGGGAAGATATAAAGGTTATGCATTAATTGAGGGGGAATTTTTTTTTCTCAAACACTTTGTTAAAAATCAAATTATATTTATTAAGGGGGAACAATTTTTTTAAGTCTTAAAATAATCCTCCTATGCATAACCTCGTCTTGTTTGCCATTATCAAAAAGGGGGAAATTGTTGAAACACGGGTTTGTCACGTTTTCGTACTAAAGCCGTGTTCGTTTTTATGACAGGTTTGGATAATGCCAAACCGCCGTGAACAAGATAAAACATTGAACATACAAGGTGAAGAACGAAGATGAGAACAAGAGCTAAAAGAAGACCAAGAACGAAGACCGCAGTCTTAGTGTCTTTGAGTCGGTCACAATTGTGATCAAGACCGACCCAACCTTTGCACCTTGGCTCTTTAGGCTAAACATCTTTTATTGCATCTCTTACATCATAAAAATGTTTTTCAAACATGTTTCAAAAAATATAAACACTTGGTGTCCGCCAAAACCAAAAACCAAGCCATCCGGCGTTCGGCTTTTAGAAACCGGCATTCGGTTTTCGGCGTTGGTTTTTGGCATCCAAACCAACCAAGTGTTTTTCAACATTTTATGATTGGTTTTGACTCTTTGGAATGTTTAAATAGTTTTCCAACAAAAACATCTTAAAAACCACCTTTCGCTTTTGGTCATTTGGCAAAAACCACGTAAAACGGCATAAACTTGGCTAGCCGTGGTTTTTACCCAAATGACGTGGTTTTTAAAATGTCCCACTTGATTTCTTAGCTAAATACATCAATTAATTGTTTTAAACACTTGGTTTTTATTTTGGAGAACTTTGGATCTTTCGGTTGGTTTTTGCATCGGTTGGCTAGGCCGCGGTAAAGGCAAAAACCATGGGTTTTTGACTAACCACATACCCGGCGATAGGAGGAACTACCCATCGATGGGTAAGCTGTGCTTTAGCCCAACAAAGTTCTAGAACCATGCCAAACAGCGATGGGAAGTTCTACCCATCGCTGTTAAAGCCTTGGTCCAACATCAACACAAGGCAGAACGACCTTACCCAGCGATGGGGACTTTACCCCATCGATAGGAACCCAGCGATGGGAAGGCTTAACCATCGCTAGGAAGGCATGACCGTTGGAATTCATTTAAGGTTGATTCTTTCCTTGTTTGGAAGTCAACCTCTCACCCAGCGATGGGAGAGTTGTACCCATCGATGGGTAGGTGACCGTTGGCTTCAAAACTGAAGGAAATTTGGCCTACCAGCGATGAGTAAGGTCCATACATCGCTGGGAAGCCAATATCCTGCAGATCCCAAATTTATTCAACCCCATAAATCAAGCCAATCACCTCTTTAATGCATTGGTCCGTTGGAGCCTATTTTGGCATTATAAAAAGGGGTGTTTGGGTATGCTTTTCTCACCAATTCACTTCACAATTCTCATACATTCATTGCATTCAAACAACATCTATTTTCATAGCTTTCTAGAGCCAATTCGTGTGAAGTTTGAGTTGTTCTTGAGCGTACTTAGTTTACTCAATATCTACTCTAAAAGAGAGTCTCGTTCTTGAGTGTATGTTTGTTCTAAGACACGTTGAGAGAAAGTATTTCTCTCGTTTGATTCGAAGGAAGGGCTGTTTCCTTCGAAGGATTCGTTGAGGTTCGTGTGACTCGAATTCTCAAGTTGTAAGGGTTTGTTAAGCACCGTTAAGCTTAACGAGATAGTAGTGTAGCTCGAGAGAGTCTCTCGGGAGGCTGGATTAGCCACAAGTTGTGGTGAACCAGGGTAAATTCGGTGTGCCTTTTACTCTTTTCTTTTACTTCTCCTTTAAAGTTTTTTAATTCCTACGATTTCTTGATCAAACACTATTCACCCCCCCCCCCTCTAGCGTTGGTCTATTACTCTAACAGTGGCCACAGAACCTAACCGTTTATTCAATACCATACTTTAGTATTTCGTCAGAATAAGATCGTTAACTTGAATTTTGATCGTCATAATCAATATTTAATAGAAATTATTATCAACTACGTTTCATTATGGTTTATCCATTATAATTATCATTCAATCAGAATATCCATTAAGGTTTGATCATAATCAATATTCAATAATAGTCATCATAATATTCGGCCTAGCATCGAGTGTTAACAACATAGCTTACCATCATGCATCAAACATGGTTCTTGAATTTGTCAAAACATCGTATTCATTTCCACAAATCATATTTATATTGATCATAATTGATTGGTTACAAAAATAGGATTTAATAGTTCAAAAGTCGGGTTTTTGGGAAAAATTTCGCGTTCTAGACGGTACTCGGTACGGTACCTCGATACTGTGTTATGATACCTTGGTACCGACTACCGCCAGCTACCACCAAATGAGCGACAGTTAACGGTAGAAAGGCTACCGTTGCCACGGTACACCCTACCGTGCTGGTGGTACCTAGGTACCGTCCGGGCGGTAGCGTGATACCGTTTTGCACGTTAGTTTCTAAACAGAGTCATCTTCAACCTCGGGCCAATTTTTAGATATACCATTTTTAGTCACCAAACTTCAATTATACTATATAGAAATGTTCTCGAAGGTTCATAGATCATTTTGGTATCATTAGTTTGTAATTTTAACAACAATTTCAAGGTTTATGATTCTTGGTTTTTCAAACATGTCAAACACAAAACTCAACCAAATGACCGTTTATGAATGTAGAAACGATCTATACAAACATTCTAGTCACTAGATATATCTAAGGGCTTACCTCGGAGCTTAATGATGATTCTGGAAATTGAACGGCCAAACTTCCGGCGTAAACTACGGCTTGCTCCAGCGACCTCGATGGGACAATTTATAATAGAAACTACTCTCCTCACTCTTAGGACTCTTATGGGAAAATTTTCTGAAAGTCTGGTGAAGGAATGAGAGGGGTTGTAACGCCCCAAAACATACCTTAGAATTATTAATAGATAATTATTAAAATAAATCAAATTTGTTTTGATTAAAATAAATTGTTATGGGCTTTGGGCCGATAAAAATATGTTTTGATATCCCATATCACAAATCAAGATAAGTCTCAAAAAAAATAATTCCAATATGTTGACTAATTGGCTAATCTTGGTTGGGATCCTGAGTACAGACCCAAATTAAAAATAAATGAAGAAATTGTTTACTTTGAAATGGTTTATTGAAATAAATCATGAGAGTAAATAATATGAATTGAATATAACACCTTTTATAGTAAAGCTCAAACAAATCAATTTTGACTCTGTCAAAGTCAACCACCCAAAAATATGATGTCGGAAAAAGTATTACAAATAATTATGAAAAGTATATATCGTTGGATAGAGCTCGACTGTCTGATCGCAACGGTGCAAACAGATTTCAATTTGGAGAAAGTTGGACCAAAAAGTGTACCCCGACTGGAACCAAAATAGGTCCCAATCAGGGAACTGTTTAGACGGCGCCTCCTTCCCCACTACGCCGATCGCAGAATTGTGGAGTCACCATAGTTGTTTTCTTCTTCTCTCCTTCTCATTATATAAGAGAACCCAACCTTCTCATTTCTTCCCCATTCTTCTTCATTCTTCTTCCTAAGTGTTCATGAAAGTGTGAGGAGTGTTGTGGTGCTGTCAATTTGGTGTGAAGTCGCTGGAGTTGGGAGAAATACTCGCCGGAAGTTTCGCCGGAAAATTTCTAAAACCTCCATTAAGCTTCGAGGTAAGCCCGTAGATATATCTATTGACTAGAATGCTCATATAGATCGATTCTACGTTCATAGATGGTCATTTGGTTGAGTTTTGTGTTTGACATGCTTGAAGAACTAAGAATCATAAACCATGAAATTGATGTTAAAATTATGAATTAATGATGCTAAAATGATCCATGAACCTTGGAAAACATTTTTATATACTTTAATTGAAGTTTGGTGAGTAAAAGTGACATTTCCGCAAGTTCGCTCGAGGTAGAAGACGATGGATAATCGATTATCAACTTGAAAATCGATTATTCATCATTCTGCAGATTTTTTGAACAAAGCTGAGTAACAGTCGATTATCAGAATGTGATAATCGACTGTCAGCCCTCTCTAAAGTTTGATAATCGATTATCAGAGTGTGATAATCGATTATCAGCCCATTCTGAACATCAGACAGTAGATTATCAGGAGTGACAGTAGATTGTCACCCTACATTATTGAAGAAAATGAAGCTAATAGCTAATAATTGAATTTCCTATCATATATTAATCAATTGTTATTTAGAAAATATGATTTTTGAGTTATGGAATCCTATATTTTGATACCAAACCATTATGATTAATAAAAAGATGATTTCTTGGAATAAAGATGGTATTTTAACAACTAAAAGGGATCTTTTGTGATGCATGACGGTAAGCTAGGGTGTTAACACTCGATGTTAGGCCGCTGATTGTTATTAGTTATTATGATGATTGATTGATTGTTCATTTTTATGAATATTATGGATTAATGATGATGAATATTCTGGATGAAATGATTGTTGAACTAAGAGTATGAATTGATGAATAATGTTGTTAAGGATATCTAGAAGAACTTTAAGATATACCTATTAGCTAATTAATGTTAAGACTATCTAGAAGAC